CGAATTCAATTTCATAAAAAAAAATAGTTGCCTTAATTAACACAAAATTGAAAAAGTGCTCCGGTATAGTCACAGTCTAAACGCATAATAATTGCAAATAATTCTGTGCGACATTTTCAATTATACTGTGCTTAGCTTGGCGGCATTTTCACATTTTTCAATAGTTTTCACAAAATTGGAAAAGTGCTCTAGTACATAAACAGTCTAAACGTACTTGGGTAAACATTTGTACCAGAATGGCGCTTAGGCTGTGCTTAGCCTGGGTGATTTTTTAATTTTTAATCCAAAATTACAAAAATATTTTATGGAAAATAAAAAAAGATGTAATATTTTTTTATCTTCAAAAGCAATTGTTTTGTCAATACGAGCAGAAAGTTTTTTAGTTCATTCAAATCGAACGCTTTATTATTAGTTCACTCAAAAACTGCCATTTTTTGCATATTTAGCTCTGTATCTTCGAAATGGTGAGACCTGTCTTTGCCAAAAACTAATCACCTCTTCTCCCAATCAGTACAAATTGAATGCTTTTTACATCATTCAAATCCGATACTCCATTCTCTCAAAAACTCGATTTGTATTTTCTGCACTCTTTGCTCCGTATCTCCGTAACGGCTGGACCTGCCTTTGCCAAAAACTAATCGGCACATCTCCCTATCAATAAGAATCGAATGTTTTTTTTAACCATTCAAATTGGTTGATCCGTGCGCCCGAAAACGAGGACGAAAAAATGCGGACTTTAGACATTTTTCTAAAAAAAAATTTTCTTGTTCATATTATTTTATTCATTACTCAACTTATTTTTTGACTTGTTGCTATTTCTTAAAAAATTTCTTTGCATTATATTCTGTTCTTCATTATTGAAAGCAACATAACGATAGTATATTATCTAATTATTTCTAAAACTAGTGGGGCGTGGGGTCATCGTGCCTTAAGGCAAATTGCTGAAACTTCCCGTACCGTAACGAAATATTCTTGGAATATTGATTGTTTTCAAATAGATTATTACAATTATTGTAACATTGTCTAATATTTATAAGAATTATATAAACTAAATTGCAAAATTGAAATTATTTATATAAAGTATATTAAAACTTTAGCCAGAATTAAAAATAAAATGTGAATTATTTTCGTTCTACAAAAAATTTTTATATGAAAAAAAACATTTTGAAACAATTTTTTTCAAAATCAATTATTTTGTTAAAACAAGCAGAAAGTTTTTTGAATCATTTAAATCGGACACCTAGTTTTCTCAAAAACTGCCATTGTTTTCACATTTAGCTTTGTTTCTTCGAAATGGCTGAGTCTGCTAACAACCACTTCACTCAATCATTACTAATTGAATGTTTTTTAGATCATTCAAATCGCTAGTCAAGTCGCCATAGTTGTCAACACAATTAGCCGTGTCAATGAAGCATAAAACAGACAAAAATAATAGCTCCGATTCTATTCATTTTCTTTTTATTTTTGTTTTTAAATGTAGTTCACAATTATACGAAACATTTCAGAAAGCGGAAATAGTTTTTTTTATTGTTCAAACATTACATTTTTGCATTTCTCGACGTTTTGAAGGTTTCTGAACATTTTGGCATACCTCAGAAAAAATGGATGTGTGTGTGTGTTTGTTTTGTATGTCCGCATTTTTGATAGGGAGATGTGCTAATTAGTTTTTGGCAAAGGCAGGTCTAGCAGTTACGGAAATGAAGAGCAAAGAGTGCAAAAAATAGAAATCGAGTTTTTGAGGGAACGGAGCATCCGATTTGAATGATCTAAAGAACATTCAATTGGTAATGATTGGGAAAAGAGGTTATTAGTTTTTGGCCAAGGTTGGTGCATCCATTTCGAAAATACAGAGCTAAATGTGAAAAAATGGCAGTTTTTGAAAGAACTAAGCGTCTGATTTGAAAGATTCAAAGAACTTTTTGCTTGTTTTAACAAAATAATTGATTTTGAAAGAAAAAATTGTTTCAAATTTTTTTTCAATTTTTTTTTTCAAAAAAAATTTTTTTATATATCGAAAATATTTCAGATCTTATTTTTAATTCTGACCAAAGTTCTTATATACTTTCAACAAATAATTTCAACTTTGCAATTCAATTTATATAATTCTTATAAATATTAGACAATGTTTAATGTTTCAATATTTATAATAATCTATTTGCAAGCATTCAATATTCCTCGAACATTTCGTTACGATACGAGAAGTTCCAGCAATTTGTCTTAAGGCACGATGCCATGCACCCCACTAGTTCATTTCTGACACACACAGGAATATATAGATGTGAATATTGAATTATTATTAACGACGAAAATCATTACACCAATAGGTAAAAACTATTTTTTTTACATAGAAAACATGCATATTATTATATGTAAATAAAAAACTTATTCCTCTTCTGAAATATTCCTGCTTTTGAATAATATTAAATAGCATTTCTTTTATTTTTTTAAATGAACAAAATTGGAGTTGTTTCTGAGGACTTATTTGGCGCTTTATTGACTCGACTAATAGCTCTGCCCTACCCTTCTGCATCTTTCCTGTATTGCTATTGGTCCGTGTTAGAGAGAGATGGTGATATGTATTACGTAACTGCATTTTACTTGTGGCGTTGCATGGCGTCTTGCGTGCATTTAGCATTTGACCGGCAGACAGCTTGCAAAGAATTGAAATAATAGTAAGTATGAAATTATTTTTTTTTTGCATAATATCTAAGATACATATGAATCTTTAGTGGTTATGGTAAAGAACACGCAATGGCATATAAATAAATTATAATGCGACTGATTAAAATATATCAGCAACCACGTGTGTGTTATGGCGTTTATGTTCACGAGTTAAGGTACATTTGCACAATTTTGGGTTCTACTACCTTTCATCTCAGAAGTTTTTCCGAAAGAATTAGGCTTGCTTTATTATTTTTTTGGTGCCATTTTGTCGCATTTTACGCTATTTCAAGTACAATTTGTGTTGCCATTTTGTTTTTACATAAAATAGGCAATTTCGGTAACGATCGATCTTGTAATTTCTTCATTATGAATTAAATTATTTTTTGGCTTTAAATTTAGATTTTAATGAAACCTCATAGTAAAATATTAGAGGCATATGATAAATATTTTTGATAATTTGTACAAAATTGAATACTCTGCAATAGTTTCTTACATTACACTTTAACCATAATTTCTCATTGATTATTTCTTTTTCATTCTATACTAAATTCCATTCGAATATTGTATTTCTTCGTATATTGTATACAGTATGATGAAATCTTATTATGGCATTTAGTATAAAATTTTAATTTTATCAAAGGTTCTGCGTATTGCGTTAGTGAAAATTTTGAATTAAAAACGAGTATAGTATTATGTGTAAATGTCAAAGCACTTTATTGTATAAAAAACTGGGAGTAGGAGGCGTTTTACCTGAAACGAATTACAATCGTGGGACTTTTACTTGTATTAATACTTAATTTGTTATATTGTAATTTATTACGACTATCTTTTGTATAAATATTTATTTTGAATAATTAAAATGTATTTAATGGTTCAACGCTCTTAAGGCAAGTTGCTTTATTAAATTTAAGATAAATATGAAATTAGTGTGTCTTCAAAACAGTATTGAGACTTAGTTTATTTATTATTGATTCTGTTAGTTGCTTTAATGAATATTCATTGGTTGCATATAAACTTTAAAACTTTATAATTATAGTGCGACAGTTTGAATAAGACTTGAGACTGAATGATTAAATATGATTATTTGATTACATTTAAATAAAGATTTAAGCAAAAATCTTTTCTAAATTATGAATTACTTGATTTTAGAAATTCATTATATTTGAATTATTTTTCTGAAAATTTTTGAACGTGTAGATATTTTTAAACTAGCTGCGTTTTGAAATAATATTTTTTTTAATATTATATTTCAAATTTTATTTTTTATCAAAATCTTGAACAAGTTGAGTTTGATTACTTTAATAATGAAAAGTTTGAATATGAATTTGAAAATATGAATTTATTTGTAAAGAAGTAACTTCTGATACATCATCGGTGTTTGTTAAATATGTAAGAGAGATCTTGTTTTTGTAAAAGCCAAAAATCTCAATATTACTAACAAATTTAAATTTTTATTTTATAATTCATTATTTTAAAATATTTATTTGAACAACTTTGGAAATAACATTTTGAAAAAATATAAATTTTACACTTAGTTTTATCCATAAAATTGAAATTAAATTAATGCATTTATGGTAAGAAGTAACGCTTACCATGCATTTCCAAGCCTAAGTAGAGATGTATGAGAAAGTGTTCTATTAGGTTTGGACCACATGGCAAGTATTAACTATTTATTGAATATATATACACACATTATATATATATATATATATATATATATATATATATATATAGTACATATTTATTGTAACATTTTACAAGTTTTCACATTAAATTCTCATCAATTTTATTGATTGTACCTGAAAGTTTATGCATATTGTTTTAGGCAAAAATACTCACGCCTAGTTTGGTTTTTGTATTGAAAGCTTTACACTTACATTTTTGAAAATATTCGTAAATATAAATATAAATTTACTAATTTTAACAAACCTTAAAAAGTACTATAATTTAAATAACCATCATTTTTTGTAATCTGTTCAAGTAACCAATTGTGTCGTGGTTTGGCAAAATATCGATTATTTCTATAAATTAAATTTTATGATGCAAAATTATGTTCTATAATTATCTACATAATAGAATAATAATAACTTACGTTATATGGTACTGACCACAGATAATTGTCTGAAAGGTATTTTATAGTTTTTATTAAGTATTTAAGGAAGCTAGTGTCTTTCTAATTAATATTCTTCTCTTTTCAGGCAAATTAATCATGATGTATTTGTAAATCATCAGTTTATAAATCATCGCATGTGTTGTGCAGTGTTTATTTCTCATTTTAGTTAATTTTTATTATTTTCCTAATTAGTAATTTAGTCATGTAGTGTATTTCAGTTCCAGTGAAGTTATTTATTTAGTGGTCATTTAGTGTAGTTTATTTAGTGAAGTGTCAAAAATTGAGGTTAGCTGTTATCCAGGTTTTCCCGAAACCGCTCTCTTCTGGAAATCGAGAGGTAAGTTATAATATTAACAAATTCAGATAAAAAAAATATTTGTCCTAATTTACTATAACATCAATATAAATTTATTATAATAGGAATTTATAAATTTAAATAATAAAACAACACTGAATTCGTATTACTCTTTTCGTATTGATATGTCACATGCAGTTAGATTTGTCTATCGGCAAGTTGCTGATTATGTTCAATAATTACTTAAATTTGTTATAAATTATAAATAAAAACGAATATTTAATTCGAATTCGTCTTTTTGAGCTCTTTTCATTCATCTGTCACATGCTAAATGTTGTATGAAATTAGCCTTTTGGCAAGTTGCACATTATTCTTTCAATTAGTATTAATATTTAACCATTATAGTATAAATAAAAAGAAGCATGAAATTCATATTTCTCTTCACAAGTCCTATTTATTAATATATCACATGCAAAATAATATTCTAGATTTGCCTGTCGGCAAGTTGCTATACTTGTACTTAATTTAGACCTAGATAATCAGACCTGTTATTTGTTGTATGTTTAACAAATGTGTTTTTTTCGCAGACAACAAATTGGTAATCTCGATGTTTCAGAAGAATCGGTGATTTGAATAAAGGTCAGTTATTTTTTATTAGATTCTAGGCATGCTTTTGAATAAAATAATCGCGGAAATTAATTGCGTTAATTAATTCAATTAATTGACGAATTAAGTTCGTCACCGCAGTAAAATTTTAGGATTTCAGCGTCATTATGATTTTTATTTTAATATGTCGTTAATAAAAGTTGTAAATACAAGGAAAACAATCGTACGGCAGGTAACTTGTTTCATTACTTTATTACTGATTTTGATTACGTAAGTAGTTGATCTTGAAAAGAGTAAAATTATATCCAGTTAGTTCGTTAAATTTTGAATATTTTGTTTATAGTTTGGAGGATTGGTAATTTCTGAGCTGTTTTGGTTTAAAAGTCTTTCTGATAGTTTTATTCATCACCATCACAAGTTAGAAAGCCATCCCAATTCACTTGTTGCTCCGCTTCTTCTTGCGCCATGATTTAGAAGACTTTAAAAATTATGGCTTATTAATTTAATCCAATGAGTTTTATCAAATAGTAATTACCCACTGGGGTAAATAGTATATAAAATATGTATACTATACTATATGATATATACTATATATCATATGTAAATAATGTTAATCAAAATAATTTATAGAATGTTTTTATGTTTTGATGATTATTAATAAAAGAGAAAAAAAAGATAATTTTATTCCATTGCCTTTTCGATAATATATCAGATCTGTTCTAGTTCTTTGACTTTTCAATTATTTTTTTCATAAATAATAAACAAAAACAGGAACTTAATTCGCATTCCTCTTTCCATTAAAATGCCCCATGTTGATTTGAGATTTGCCTATAGGCAAGTTGCTAATTAGGTTCAAGTAATACTTTTCTGTATAAAGATTGTTATCTATAATAAGGCGGCAGAGGCAAATTATTAAAATTGCAAATAGTGCTAAATTTGTCATTTTGTTGGTACTATAGTTTGATGAACTATATATTTATCCAGAAAATGCGAACATTTAAACTTTTTAAATAAACAATATTTTTTATTAACAAAAATGATTATGTTTACTACAATCGCTTCTTTTTCTTTTTCATTATGTCTATATGTCAGGGGACGCCATAGTACTCCCCCCAAAATAAAAATTGACGGCTATATGTCAAAAGAAAAGTTAATTTTACGTCATATGTTAAACGTAACTTTCTTCTTTGGAGTCTTCTTAGTTGGTTTCGTTGGTGATGGTCTGTGATGTGAATTCGAATCTGATTTGCAATCAGTATCTGACTTGTTAATGTAAGCGGGTTTTAATCTTTCTGCAGTGAAGTTCTTTTCAGTCCCATTTTTGCGGAATTTGTAGATCCGGTCAGTAACTCGCTCTAAAATTTCATAAGGCCCACTGTAATGTGGTTCTAGAGGCTTGCGGACATGATTTGCCCTGAGGAATACATGTGTACATGTGTCCATATCTTTCAAAATAAACATTTTGCCCTTGTTGTGATGAGCAGTAGGAGTTGGTTTCAATGCACACATGATTCGGCGATGATTATCTAAAAATACTTGTAGAATTGTTGACTTATCAGATACATTGATAAAATCACCTGGAAGTCTCAACGTAGTTCCGGAGACCATTTCTGCTGGTGATGTTTTTATGTCTTCCCTAAATGAGTCTCGTAGACCAAGTAGCACGAAAGGTAGTATCTTGATCCACGGTTCAGTGGAACACATCAAAGCAGCTTTCTGCAACACATCAAAGTCCTATGCCATCGCTCCACGAATCCATTAGCCTGAGGGTGGTAAGCTGTTGTACGTGTCTTCTTCGCTCCAACTGCCTGAGCCAAAGACTTGAATAGAGCAGACTCAAATTGAGTGCACGTAAATAACTCTTGTGTGACTGTATCAGCTGTGACATCTCTGAGCGGTATAGCTTCTGGCCATCTTGTGAACATGTCTATAATTGTTAAACAATATGAGAAACCATTAGTATTTGGTAAGTGAATGATATCAATATGGATATGAGAAAATCTTTCATCAGGTACAGGAATGTGTATAGGATTGAAACGGTTGTGTTTGTGGACTTTCAACTTTTGACAGGAGATGCATTGGCGAGTCCAAGTAGTAATATCCTTTCCAGGTCATACATATCGTTTGCGGACTTCTCTGGATGTAGTCTTGCACTCTTTCTCTGCATGAGAAATACCATGTATTACATCAAATGCAGTTTTGCGGAGTTTCTGTGGAAGATAAGGTTTGACAAAATTAGATTCTATATTACAATATTATATTGGAAAACCATCCAATGTCAATTTGTGGAGTTTCAATGATGTTTCTCCATCAAGTAATTTTTTCAATTCTGGGTCTAAATTCTGCTCAATGCTTATCTCCTTAGCTGACAGTTTCGTTGACATTTCTATTGTATTAATTCTTGAGAGAGTGTCTGCTACAATGTTTTCATCACCTTTCACATACACAATTTCAGTGAAGAACTGGGAAATGTATTCTAATTGTCGTCTCTGTCTATCTGAAGCCTTTTCAAGTTTTTGCTGAAATGCATATGTGATTGGCTTGTGATCAGTCTTGTTTTATTGCAGCAAATATGCCAAGTAGCTTTCGATCATATGTTGAATACTTCTGTTCTGTTGTTGTTAGTTTTCTAGAGATGAAACCGATGGGTTGCCAGGCACCATTTTCTTCCTGCTCCAGAGTAGCACCAATAGCTGTTGTAGAGGCATCCGTGACCAAGCAAATGTTGGATGAAGCATCTGGATATCGAAGTAGTGCTGCATTTTCAAGTGCTTTCTTAATGTCATCAGAAGCCTTAAGAGATTCTGGGTTCCAGACAATTGGAGTTTTGTCCTTCTTTACTGAACTTCGTAGATAATTGTTTAAGGGTGGTTGTATTCTTGCTGCCTTTGGTACTGACTTCCTGTAGTAGTTCACCATTCCTAGAAACCTGCGTAGTTCCAGAACTGTGGTTGGTTGTGGAAAGTCTAAAATTTTGTTTACTCGGTGTGTTGATGGAGAATAGCCATTCGCACTAAGCTTGTATCCCAGAAAATCTACTTCATCCTTGCCCATGACGCATTTCTCAATGTTGATGACAAGTGAGTGTTCTTGAAGTCGCTCAAACACAATTTCAAGGTGACGATGATGCTCTTCGACACTCTCAGACATGACTAGGATGTCATCCACGTATATGAACACTAAGTCAATATCTTAAAAAATGTGATTTATATATTGCTGGATAGTCTGAGTAGCATTTTTCAATCCAACCGGCATGCAGAGATACTCAAATAATCTCCGTGGGCTTATAATGGCTGTCTTCTGAATGTCCTCTTCATGCATCGGAACTTGATGATAAGCTTTGGCGAGGTCCAATATAGAGAATATTTTTTCCCATGTAATGCTGGAAAAACATCCTGAATTAATAGTGGAAGATACTTATCAGGTAATGTGCTCGCATTCAGTTGCTTGTAGTCACCGCAAAGTCTATATGTTCCGTTCTTCTTAGGCACTTATTAATAGGGCTTGCCCACGGACTGCTTGATGGTCCTAACATGCCCCTGTTTAGGAGATTTTGAATTTTGGATTTTGCTGCTATAGCTTTTTTACCGAAAATCTTCCTAAACCTGGCAGCAACTGGTAGACCTGTTGTAGAGATTCTGTGCGCAAAAGGAGACTGCTTAATAGTTAATTTGTGTGGTTCATTAGTGAGAGATACATATTTTGTTAGTAGATTCTTGAACGGTTGCTTGGGATCTATTGTGGAGATGTTGATATTATCAGCTTTCAGAACTTTCTCATAAGAGGTTAAGCCTCTAGAGGAATCAATCAATATCTTGCCTCTCAGATCTATGAGCAAATTGTAGTGGCTTAGCAAGTCTGCACCGATTATGGCTGTTGCCACGTCTGCTATAGTGAACTGCCAAGTGAAGGGTGTGCGCAGCGAAAGGTCCAGCTCAAGAGTCCGCTTTCCATAGGTGGATATTCGACTGGAATTAGCTGAATACAGAACAAGCTCTTCCTTGGCACCACCGTTTGCAAATTTGCTAGCTGGAAGTATTAAGAGAACAGAGCCAGAGTCAATAAGAAATCGTATTCTGGATTTCTGTCTGTTATACTTAATCGGAGCTCTGAACAGCCAGAAATTGTATCACCATCATTGCATGCAGCTCCTAATGTTGATGGTGATGTTGGTTTTCCGGATTTAAGAAGGCACGGTTCTATGCACTTTTTGACCTTTTCTCCAAACCTATTGTGGTAATAACATACATGCGATTTGGTAGGTGTTTTTGCCTTTTTTGCCTGTTGCTTGAGTGGTTACTGGATCTTTTGCTTTCGCTGTTGTCTCTAGGACCCTGTTTTAAGCTTTCGATCTCTGATGTGAGATCATTTATTTTTCTACATAATGCAATCAGAAGTTCTTGCGTATGATCCGTTTCGTAACCTTGGGCTACTTTTGAAGGCGTAGATGTTGCAAGCATTATTGTATTTTTTATAGTATACCTCAGTTAAAATTTTAGCTCGTGTTCTTTGCTTTGTGGGAGTCACCAATTATATGGATCGGTGCTCACCAATTACATAGATGCATTTCTTGCTCACGATCAAGTCACATGTAAATTAATGCACATGTATTTCACTTTTGGCGTGTTTTTTATTTGCGTTCGGAGTCACCATTTATATAGTTTGATGAACTATATATTTATTCAGAAAATGCGAACATTTAAACTTTTTAGATAAACAATATTTTTTATTGACAAAAATAACAAAAGATGATTATGATTACTACGATCACTTCTGTTTCTTTTTAATTATGTCTAGATGACGCCATAATATCTTCACATTTCAATAGTTGATTTTGGAACATTTGGATATTTTCACGCGTGTGTATGTGTATATTGATGTATATGAAATCAAAACAATAGTTTAGCATTCTTCTAGAAACATTTGTTTCATCTTGTTTTTTTTTTTAAATTGCAAGTGGAGATAATTTGTCTTTTGATATCTTCATACTTTAATAGCTGACTTTGTAGTGTTTTGAAAAAATTGGATATTTT